ATTTCAGGATGGCCACAGGGATAATTTCGTATAATGCCAGATTTGATTTTAAAAGTAGTCCATCTTAGACAAGAGTATTTTTTTCTATCACCCTTCTTTTGGAAAAAGTTAAAAAAGTAAGCGTCTCAGCAGTTTTCAACTTTTTTGGACTGCTGGGATTAAATATCTAAAGTCAGCTGCTCACTTTGATCAAATAGTTTTGGCCATGTGTATGGCTCTGCATTTATTTACAATTTTCTGATGCGTACCACTAGTTTAAGTAAAATGTTTGCTTGAAATTCAGGTAAGTGCACATCTCTAGTAGACAAGTCTATACATTTTAGCTTTTAAAAATACATTTAAGAAGGTGCATAGCTGGCCTAACAGCAATCGTCAGACATTAAACTGACTTCTTGTCTCTTCCTGACGGTCGAAACACAACAGCCTCAGCTCCAGTGCACCAACAATAAATATGAACTGTAATCGTTAGAATAACCACTTTACTGTATAGTCTATTAATTGTTCTGCACAGATTAAACTCCAAAGGGATTTTTCTCAGCAGCTGACTTAAGCGGTTGGCTTTCTGTTCTACCTTAAAAAGGAATCGATACAAAGTAGTGTTAGATGTTCGTCTGAACAGTCAGCTGCTGCTGACTTGGCAAACCGCACAGGTCCTGCTACCTTGTGCTGTAGTTTATTCAGTGTAAGCTGCAGTCTAGTTGAAATTCACAGTAACACCTGAAACGGCCCCTCCAAGCCATGTCAGATCAATGCATTTCATCTCTCATCTGTCACATCACAAAGCCTGTTCTGCCACACAAATTACTGGTCTGCTGACTTAGAACTTTGGTGGACCTGGCAGTGCACTGTACCCAAGGCATTCGGAAATATCAGTGGCAGACCAAGCTGTCAGACAGGATATATCCATCACCAGGAGAGCCATGTGAAACAGACAGCTAATATCCGGGGGACTTCTACAGCTGCGTTTGTCAAAGTCTGCATTGTGACAGGAAGCTTCCCACAAACATTTCAAAGCCTGTTAGCCATACACTTTCAGTCTGTTTGGACATTAAATCCTGTCACCTGTGGATGCTGAAACGAGCATCTGTTGTTATATTGGTCTTATCACTGTTGTGCACTCATAAACTGCAGGCCTTAATAAAGATTTGTTGTCAAATTGTGGATTATATTGCATTGTGTGAAACTGGAGGAAGCGGATGTCGTAGCAGATAGCTGTACAGGAATGCAAGACGTATGAAATATACACACAAGAGCTGGGTGGTCTGATTTCTTTTTAATAACACCTGTTTGGCAATGTGCATATGTGTGTGTTTTCCCAGTTTTAGAAACTGGTTGAAAGTGTCGACTGTAAAAAGACAACTTGTAAGGTGACTGAGGTATTCATTAATATGCTTTAATATAGTTATTGGCAGTTTTAGTGTTTTAAGGATATATATATATATATATATATATATATATATATATATATATATATATATATATATATATATATATATATTCTATTAGATTGTATCTTTCAATAAAAACAGCATGCATCACAAATCATGACATTTGCTTTGCTGTGAGTGTTAATCTGACTTTCCATTAGGGTTTTTCAGGTCGCTCTTGTAAATGAGTCCCCAAGGCTCAATGAGATTAACCTGTATAAAAAAGGTTGATTGATTGATTGTATAAATAAAGGTTGATTGAAAAAAGGGTTGGATGATAAATTAATTTCTAAATTAAAATGGTAGTTTAACATATGTAAATAATACAGATTTTTCCATCGATCCATCAAGTCATGAACTTTTCTCTCAGCACAAACAAAAAGCACAAATGGCCTTTAATTTTGTTCACGTCACGAAGCGAAGAAACTTTGTACACGTTTTGAGCAAGATAACTTGAAAAATAAGTGAGGTACCAACTTCCATGTTGGTGTGTGACTGCATCTAGGCAAAGTTGGTTTACCACGTTAAAATCCAAGATGGCTGCCACCACATATGTCTGTCCGTATTGTGAGCCGGATGCCTTTAAAAATAAGTGATGCACTGATTTCCACTTGGTGAATGGCTGCATTTAGATGTAAGAAAGGTCAGCATTGAAGGATTGGGGGCAGTTGTTGCTGAGTAGGTAGAGCAGTCGTCCTCAAATAGGAGAGTTGTGGGTTTGATTCCACCAGCAGTCACATGCTGAAGTGTCCCTGGGCAAGACACTGAGCCCCTCATTGCCTCCAATGTGTCTCTCATCTATGTATGAATGTGATAAAGAACTGTTTAGTCTTTAAATTATATAGTAGAGTTCTGTATGAATGGGTAAATGAGGGCACAGATTTTGTTGTAAAGTACTTTGAATATTTTAATGAGATAGAAAGGTGCTATATACAGACCATTTACCATGGGAAAATTGGGTTGCAACATCAAAATCCAATATGGCTGCCACCATATATGTATATTTGTAAACTTTGTGAGCTGGATAACTTCAAAAACAAGCAAAGTGCAGACTTATGTTTATGGTGTAGCTGCATCTAGGCATAAGAAAGGTCACTATAAAATTTGGGTTGCTAAGTCAAAATCCAAGATGGCTACCACCATATATAGATGTAAACCAGTCACCCCATTAATTTAATAAAGATGATTTCTAGTTTTTATATTGTTTAAAAATATAATGTCCTCAAATGTTTGGAGGGATCCTTGAGGGGGCCAAAGATTCATCTATTGTGCCCAAGGCACATTGGGCACCCCTTGGCTCTGCTATTGTGCATGGTGGTAGGTAAAATTGTTCACTCCAGATCTGCCAGTCTGTGCTGCCTCAGACGAGCGAAAACAAATAAATAAACAACCCTCTATTCTTATATTCAGTGTAACTCCAATCAACTTGAATATTTTGCACCAAAAACATTTATGTTCACTTGCATTCCCTTTTCAATTCCATCCCAGATAAAAACACTCATCTCTAAACTACATCACTATTCAAATCCCTATGTGACGGAGAATATCAGCATACTGCTTGTTTCTGTTTGAACCACCTTCTGTTGTAGCATTGTGCAGAAAGGTAGAAATTATTTTTTGTTGTCCCATTTTAGCCGGGGCTCTCACAGATTTTTGGAATTATCAAAGTGTTGCTTAAAATTACTTATTTGGAGAAAAAGGGAACATTATCTTTCCTTCAAACATTCAATTTCCAAAGATCTTATCAATATTTGAGTTACATGAGTAAATGCATCTGTTTGATGTTCAACTAGATTTCTATCAGGTGTCTGTTTAAATCCCTAATCACAAGCTGACACTGACCCAGTCTCACACCAACACAGTTGCACGTGACAGTCTCTGAGCTTTACATTCACAGTCACCATCATCCCTGCTCTGGTTTTACACTGATAAAATATTAAATGCCAGCTTTGTATGAGCAAACAAAGCATATTCAATGATTCAAAGTTCTTTGTCGTTCCACTACATGTGGTACATGTGGTGCAACGAAATTGTGTACACAGAGTCCCAGTTACATCCAACAAAAGTATTAAAATGTAAAGCACTAGTAGCACAAAAACAATACGCTGAACAGCAGCACGAACATGAGTCTGTGTGAGCAGATGAACGCTAATGAACACAGCAACATGAAACAGATCAGCAGCAACATGATGTGATTTTCACAATGATTATTCTGGTTAGAGATTCATGAGTCTAACATTCTCAGGGTAGAAGCTGTTCCTCAGTCTAGTGGTTCTACACTTAATGCTCCTTAACCTCCTTCCCGAGGGGAGCGGGGCAAAAAGTGTGTGCGCTGGGTGAGTGGGGTCCTTATACATACATACACGATGCAGGTGGCCCTCTTCCTGCATCTGGAGGTGTAGATAATAATAATAATAATGAATTTAATTTGTAACGCACTTTTCATTAACAAAAATCTCAAAGTGCTAGATGTCTGTGATGGTGGGGAGACTGACTCCAACAGTCTTCTGTGCAGCCTTCACCACTCTCTGCAAAGCGTTTCTTTCTGCAGCTGTGCAGCCTCCATGCCACACGTTTATGCTGGAGCACAGGATGCTCTCCACTGCACACCTGTAGAAGGAGGTGAAGACTGGGCTTCCCAGTCCAGCTCGTCTCAGCCACTATAGAAAGTAGAGTCTCTGATGAGCTTTCTTGATCGGGCTGGTGGTGTTGTTGCCCCAGCTGAAGTTGTCATTCAGGTGCACACCCAAGTCCTTGTAGCTCGAGACCACTTCCATAAGATCCTCTTATGTTCAGGGGGGTGGGGGTGGGGGTGGGGGGGTTGTTTTTTCTGAAGTCCATGACCATCTCCTACGTCGTCTTCACATTGATGTGAAGGTTGTTCTTGCAACAGCTCTCCAGGTGTTCCACCTCCTGCCTGTAGCTGGACTCGTCGTCGTTTGTGATGCATTATATAAAAAGAATGGAACAAAAACAGCAGAAAACACAGGATTGGGTGTTGTGGTCTAAATCATAATGATGATGTAGTAGTGAGACTATTATAGTCTGCTTTTTCATGTATATTTGCCTTGAGTAAATTCAATACTGGGAAAAAATAAGTACATGATAAAGTTTCTGAGTATAATTCTAACTTTATAGATTTGCTGCCTCGGTGCCTTGGCAACAATATTAATGGGGCCCACAAGAACTGGCAGAAAATATAAAAATTTTCCTACAGGTGAATTAAACAGAATGGCCATCTGAATGAACATAAATATCCCTTAACAGGAGAAATATTTAACTGGCTGTATGTCCTCTGACACAAGATCTATTTTTTCCTCCCCACAATGGAAATCATTCACCTTGGACAGCTGTTTATCTGCACCTCTCCAGCTGTAATGATATTCAGAAATGTATTAAACTTTGCTAAAGTTCCACCACATCAGCTCATTCATTCAGATCTGTACCTCTTTTTAATGATGCTTTTTAAAAATATTATATTGTATATTATTTTTCCATGTTCCTCTATTCACCCCCTGTGTCATCCCCTCACTCTGTGTAGATTAATGATTCTTTTTCCTCTCACACCAACAGAGGTTGTGCAGCTGAGCCTGGCAGATGATCAGCGAATCAGCGTCTCGACGGTAACAGTGGGCCTCAGTGCCGTCCTCACCTGCTCCATCCAGGGGACTCTGCGTCCACCAATCATTTGGAAGAGAAATGGCATCATATTAAACTTCTTGGACCTAGAGGACATTAATGTGAGTGCACAGTTCTATTATCTTCCACATAGTTAATGCTGATTTGTGTTGCAATGCCTGAGTGGATAGTAAAACCTACAAATGCAGTTCACCCGCTTCTATTGATATATTATTAGCCATTAAATGTCTGTTATTAGTTGTTATCCCCAAAGGTTGCGTTCAGTCTGTCCTTCCTGTACCTACTAGTAGGTTTAAAGGTACATTCTTATCGCTGATAATAAAGTCAGGGGGTTAAGTTTAGGGTCAGAGCTCTGGGCCATGTGTAAGGTTAGTTTTAGGAAAAGGGTAAAATAAATCTAAGAAAAAAAAAATCTTCCACTTTTAGACATGGGCAAAGCTGCATATTATCAGCGATAAGAACGTACCTTTAAACCTACTAGGAGGTACAGGAGGGACGGTCTGAACACAACCTATGGGGATAACAACTGACAACAGCCATTTAATGGGCTGATAACATTTGAAGTTGCTGTATAGTTGATGTTTTGTGAAGTTCTCCTCAACCATCATATTTTTAGACTAACTTGGTCTTATGTGTAAATGTTTAGCTCTTATATCTGACAATAATTGTGAAAAAATATTATTATTAACCCCCTATTTAAAATACAATTTGTCTGCCTAATTTATATTTGGTCAATTTTAGCAGCAAGGGGCACAGTGGGGAGGCTTCTTCCACTGATGCAAAACAACTAATAACCCTTTTAGCATTTAAAATTTGATAATTGCATTACTGCTGGGAGCTATTACGTGCTCTGATATTTTGGCAGTTAATTTATACTTACAACATTGTTTCTCTAATCTCAACTCTGTAAGCCATACTTAAAAAAATATTGAATATTATTAAAATTTGTATGTTAAATCTGATAATCAGCAAACAGCTTCACAAGAAATGGATAAAAACAAAGTCTTTAGAAGACTAGAACTTGCCAGGAAAGAGATTAAAATAAACAATTTTCTCACACCCTCCATAAAACAGAACATTTAACTCTGCGCTTAACGAACTATGCAGCCAACCCATTTAGACGCATCTGCACAGGTGACAGCAGAGGGTCAGAATTGGCGTTTTTCTCCACCAGATCACAGTTCACTAATTGCATGTTAATGAGCGGCATGTTGGTCAGCTGTGGCCATGAGCAGATAAACAACGTTGAGTGCTAAGGTCGAGACAGGATGAGATGGAACAGCAACGGAGATCTCTCGGGCCCTTGACCACACATAATGGATTTTCACAGAGTTTAGCGATCTGAGTGGAGGAGGGGGAGAGGAGCACCTGCTGTCTTTGACTTGTTTTCATTTAAATCAGTGAACATCATGACAGATAATGTTAGTGTTTTACTATGTGAGGGTAATTTATGGAAGCACAGGGAAATGTATAAGAGAATGGGGGGGGGGGGGGGGGGGGACACTACACATTTGAAGCTGCATGCCAGTATGTTTGTAGTAAGTTGGTCAATTTGTGTAAACAATTACATTCCACCCCATGTACCACATGTGATGTGAATGATAATAAAGAACCTTGAATCTTCAATTTCAGGGTTGAACAGCAGTGTATAATACTGATATGAGTTACTGGGAAGGAAAAGAAAAAGGGCATTAGGTAACAAGACATCCAGATTTTAGACATAAAATCCCAAATTCTGACATCTAAATTTTAATTCTATATAAGTTCTAGAGTTGCGCTGCTCGAGGTGGCTGCATGTTGGAGTAGCTCTGTTATTTTCATTCTGAGATTTTGCTTTTGAAAACTTCAATTCTTTTTTTTTTTCTGGATGTAAATCACTTTTTTTAGATGATTGTTTCCTCTGGTGTTGGATGCTGTGCAGCTAGAAGGATTTTTACTGAAACTTTTTTACTTTTGTACATTTGTCATGATGCGTAACCTTACCAACAATGTGTTTTTTTACAACCGGGTGCAGCTGATTAATATCTCTAAAGCTCAAATAATATCTCAGCTACACCCCCAAATCTCAAATGAGTAGAAAAGGAGGTGCTGTGGATGCATTTCCATCTATCTGCCGGCTGTGCTCAAGTGCCTGACCACTGAGATCCTGAAACTAGTAGGAAATGTGGCTCGTGACAGCAGAAAGACGAGATCATCCCCCATCACCTACAGCTGGCTGTCCGCAGTGACGAGGGGCTCGGCAGGCTGCTGGGAGAAGTGGCCATCCCTCCAGGAGGAGTTCTGCCCGGCATTCGGGCGGCCCTGCAGCCCGGGGGAACCGAGAGGCCAGACGAGTCTGGTGGACAAATCGAACTGCATCTACGGCCAGTTTCTTCAGATCCGCTGTGGGACGGACCTTTACAAGAGATCCTTCCTGCCTATAGCCATCAGCATCTATAATATCTCTTAATGAAACGAGGATAATGAGCTACAACATTTAATTTCCAAAAGTTTAATGTAAATCCATCCATTATCTTTACCCGCTTATTCCATTTTGGGTCATGGGGGTCGCTGGTGCCCATGTCCAGCAATCACTGTGCGAGGGGCGGGGTACACCCTGGACGGGTCGCAAGTCCATCACAGGGACCCATAGAGACAAACGAGACAAACAACCATTCACTCTCTCATTCACACCTAGGGACAATTTAGAGTTACCAATCAGCCTAACATGCATGTTTTTGGTCTGTGGGAGGAAACCGGAGCACCTGGAGAAAACCCATGCATGCACGGAGAGAACATGCAAACTCTACCCCTGGACCGGGGTTTGAACCAAGGACCTGCTCGCTGAGAGGCAGCAGCTCTACCAGTTGCGCCACCGTGCTGCCCCTCCAAAAGTTTAATGTAAATGTTAATATGTTTTTATAATATACCTGAGCTGATCTTTCGAACATGATTAGAGTGTATATTGTAGAGGGATGGAGCTCTAAATATGATGCATGTTGCATTAACCATCATGTCAGCATTTAAGGTATTTAATCAGCAGTTATACAAGACGCCTTCAAATGGGTGTCTGATAATGTACAGATAAATGCATCTCTAAACCTCATTGGTTAGAACAGTAAGACTGCCACACCAAAAGTGAAGAAGTGTGTCAAACACATTGAATGGCCCATTTCCTTCCACCAGAGACTTTTATTTTCCTGCTGTCCAACAGTTTGTATGAGTTAACTGTACACACAATGTAGCACAGAGGTGAGAAGAGGGAAAGGACTTTAATTTCCTGTCAAAGCTCACTGAGTGTTTTCTCCTGCAGAACTGTGCCAAAAAAAAAAATAGGATTGTTCTCAGAAGTTTTATTTTCTTTTGACCATTTCTTTTTGCACTTGAAATAGTTATTTAAATCCACAAACAGATTTTAACTCTTGTTTCTGTTCCATATGGTAATAAAAGGCAACACTTACATTTTAAAATATGTCTAGGGTGATAATGATTTTTACTTGAAAACCCAAACTTTCCAAACTGTTGGGTTCTCAAACCCAAATTTAAATTTACAGTAATTTCTAGTTAGATGATTATTCTTAAAACAAGTTTCTTTCTGTATTTGGTACATTTGTGCATTATAAGAACATTTTACAGATCAAAAGATGCTATAGAACATTTAATTCTGCTTTTAAGATTTTAAATTTAGTTTAAAAACCACTGATTCTTAAGTTCTAGTAACCTTAACAGAAATGATTTAACAATGATGTCTTCTGCACATCTATCGTACCCGTAGAGCAGCCCATATGTCAGAGCTTATGTTTTCCTCGAAGCGCCCACATTTTACTGCCAGATTAGAGTCATAACCCAAATGGCCCATTCAGTTTAATTGTCTTTGTCGGTCTACTCATATCTCTTATGTTAATACTAAATGTTGAACTTTAGCTAAGCTCTCACATCCATCTTACAAGAAAATCCTTTAATATTGTTTCCATCGTAAAGTGACTCCCTGTTATGTCTCATTAAAATCCTAAGTCTTCTAGAAAGAAAGCTGCAGGTTTCTGGTTTTAGCGTCATGGTGGAGCTGCATCAGGACTTGTGCTCTACTACTTGGTGGGACAGCAAATATTTAATGCCTTAATCCACCCTAAGTTGGGACTGGAACTCCCCGGTGATTGCCTCATGCTGCACCAACAACAGCGGCGCCATTCATCAGCCTAATGGGCTTTATATTTTTAACCCTTGCCATTTATCAGGCTGAGGCAGCGTGATGAGGGGAGGGAGAGGGATCAAACTCCCAAATGCCTGCTTCAGCTCAACAGGGAAACCATTGATTCATGGTTTCTCTTCCTCCTCCCATCACTCTTTTTCTCTCTTGTCTCTTCCCATCATTCCCTGCTGTTGTGTGCCGCCTCTTCCTCCTCTCTCCAAGCATCGTTATGCATTCTATCACACTACCTTCGTTTTGCTCTCACTCCCTGTGGATGTTCCTTGCGCCCAATTCTTCACCACTATTCCCACATCTGCACCCCTGCTCTTCTATTTCCCCATCTTCATTCTTAACATAACTCTTCTCTTACATCTTCTCCCCATATTGCAGGACTTCGGGGACGACGGCTCGTTGTACATCACCAAGGTGACGACAATACACATGGGCAACTACAGTTGCCATGCCTACGGCTACGAAGACCTCTATCAGACACATGTGCTGCAGGTGAATGGTCAGTAATAGCTAATTTTTTAATTTATGAAGAATGTGTTAAACTAGTTTCTAACATATAGTTCTGCAGAAAATGGTTTCCTTTTTCCATGCCCTATATGATGAACAGATACAACTATATATAATGTGGTAAAAATTCCACAGTTAGGGTTAAGAACTGTTTTACACATAATGAATAAGAACAAAAAATGCAAATATGGATGCTAATTCTACTTGGCAGCTCAAAATATGTGGAGCAATTGATACTTTAAATAATGGATGTGTGGAAATTATTTTTAATCTTTTTTTTTAACTTGTTCATGAGCACCACACCATCTTCAGCAACAAGTTATATAACAAGGGTCTGCAACCTGCGGCTCTGGAGCCACATGTGGCTCTTTGGTCCCTCTGCAGCGGCTCTTTCAAGCTTTCACCAAAACTGAAATAAAACTGAATTTTATTGGTTGTTATAACAACAAATAAAAGGGCTAGTTTTAGCAGTTTTCCTGTAATTTATTTAGCAAATGTATGAATACTAGAAACGTTACAAGGAGTAAAACTTACTTTCACTTTATGCTTTATTTATACAAAGTACATAATTTTTATAAAATAAAATAAAAAAATCACATAAGAATGCATAGTTTGTTTTAGTTTTTTTAGAAACTGGGCAAAAACTATATAAATTTTTCCTTCTTTACAAGAATCTCGTCTTTTATTTTGTCTTTGTGTAAAAATACCAATAAATGTTAACAACCATTAGATATTTTTAGTTTTATAAAATCACCCCTACTGTCCAGAAATGCACCCTCCAACAAACTTAAAGTGGTCCGTGGGCCACCAGTTGAGAATCCCAGTTGTTGCAGGTGTTGTGGCTCCGGACACGTTTAATTTAGTGAACAAAGGGGCAGAAATGGCTCTTTTGATCGTAAAGGTTGGAGACCCCCTGTTCTATAAGAACTTCCTGCTAGTCTACGTTCATGCCATAAATCGAACTCCTTTGCAGTGCAGCAACATTTTCAGATTTGACCTAATTCAGTGCAGCAGTGATCATGAATTCACTGCACAAGAGCTAAATATGGCGTACAGGTTCATTTCATTTAGTCTACTGAGTCCTAAAATATTATAAAATAAAAAAAAAAGAGTAATCAGCTTGCTCCCTCAAACATGAGCTCAGACCCAATCTGAACACTGGCAGAAATGCTGTTGTGTTTCGCAGGAGCTAGCTGCACGTTAACTGTTAAAGTACCGTATTCTTCAGACTATGAGGCACATTTAAAATCCTTAAATTTTCTCAAAAATCAACAGTGAGCCTTATAATCTGGTGCACCTTATGTATTAATTCTGGTTGTGCTTACTGACCTTGAATAGATTTTAAGAGGTACACGGCGCTCAAAAATGTGTCAAAATGTTTTAGTTTTGCTTAATGCGCCTTATAGTCTGGTGCACCTTATAGTCCGAAAAATACGGTAGTATTTCTTGGCTCCAGTGTACCTCAAGTTAAAATTGAAAAAAATATAATGTTTTAATTGCAGCGTAAGTCTAAATAAATTAAATGGTTAGAATCACCAGAAAGATGGTAAATCACAGGTTGATTAAATGATATTCTGGCCCATAAAGTAAAATTTGTTGACAACTCCAGACAGCTAGTGTTGTTCAGCTGAAATGCTTCACCCTAAGGATAAAGGCTTCTTAGTTCTTGGTGCTAAACTGTAGAAACAGACGGAGAGTTTAGGTTGGGTTTTGTTTTTGATTTTGGTTCAGTTTGCTTTCAGCTGAGCCTTTGCAGCTCTGGTGTGATGATGAATCAGTCATTCTTCAAGGGCACATGTTCGAACACAAAGAATCAAACTAGTGGGTTTCACTACAACCATAAAGTCTTTAGTCTGTTGATCCAAAAAGCTGCATTCTTTTTATACCAAATGATCATCAAGACCGTTTGTTGCATTTTATTCTGAATTTCCTAAAAGAATACATTTGTTTGAAATGATTAGCCTAAATAATCAAAATAAAATCATAAAACACTAACTTTGTTTTCATTTCAAAATTTGTTTTATTATTCCTTTTTAATTGTGTAAGGCTTTTTAGCATAAAGAAAGAAATATCTGTAGATTTGCTTAAAAAGTGTTTGCTCACATGTGAAAAGCATTATTCACAACATCACTATCACAGCACTGGTCCTGGATAAAGCTGAAAATGAAAAATGACTGAACAATTCAAATTTAGTTCATATTTTACACTGGATTAAAGTAATTTAGTGTAGATCCATGCAGAAATCAGAGCTGATGCTTTCTAACTGAAACCATCCCATCAGCCTTGGTAAAATGAAACCACCCGCGCTCTCAGACGGGCGTGCCGCTGCGCAGAGAGAAGGTGGAAAAAGAACAAGCTCCAGGTGTCTTTGAGAATCTTACGTGACTGCTTAACTAAGTGTCAGAGGGCTGAAAGCTGCAAAATCTGATTTTATGTTCAAAATGATCATTGTAAACAGTCACAAACCACAAATTATTTTTAAGTATTTTTAACTCTGTTGTTAAACCATGTGTCGGTGTTTCCATGGAGGCTTCTTTTAAACGTTGCGACGTTTTTAAAATTGTTTATTGAAACAAAATTTCTGATTCGAGGTCTTTTATTTCACGTTTTTAATCAGTCTGCCTGCCCTGAAATGATCTGCTGTTTTACAGCAGTTTGAGCCCATCTGTTTCAGTTTTAAAGTAAATACTTAATTTAAGACTTTCTAATTCTCTAAATATCCTGCTCTCGTCTTTTAAAGGAAACCCTTCAAATGACTGGGCCTTGTATTTTACACATATTGAACTCTTCTGTGTTCCAGTTGCTTTCAAAGACACTAATATCTAAATTAACCTTCATGTCCAAATAGTCAGAAAAGGCTGTTTTTAATCCGTTTCAGACAGTTTTAAATTCTCCTGAAGTTTGTAAAGAATTCCAGTCTGGTTTTAAATTCCTTTATAACACTGAAACAGCACTTTTAAGAGTTTTTAATTAACTAATTTTAAAGGTTGACTGAGGTTGCTTCGCTGTTTTAGTTCTTTTAGATTTAACCGCTGCCTTTGCTTCGGTCGATCACAGCATCCTTTTATCAAGACTTGAACTTTTTGTTTGGTCTTAAAGGCTCGGTTTTAGCATGGTTCAAGTCTTATTTAGATGGCAGGTCCTTTTTCATTTCCATGGGGGAATACTCTTTTTGATTTACACCTATTGCTTGTGGTGTACCTCAAGGGTCCATTTTGGGCCCTATTTAGTTCTGTTTATTCTTGTGATCAATTTTTAGAAAGCACAACATTTTTCATTGCTACGCTGACAACATCCAAATATTTTTTTCCTTTTGAATCGAATGTCTCTGTCCCACTGCAGCCTCCGTTTGTCTAAAGGATGTTAAAACTGTCTTAGACTTGTTGGACCTTGAATGAAAAGAAGACTGAAGTTGATTTATTTGAAAATCAAACTCCACTATGTGCTGGAATTCTCCATCCTCTTGCTCCTCATTGTTCCTCCATGGTCAAGAATCTTGGAGTATTTTTAGACAGTTCTTTTATACTCAATAAGCAAATATTCTCAGTTGTCAAAACCAGTTTTTATCAGTTACATCTTATATTCCGCTTAAAGACTTTAAAACTCTTACCCGTGCCTTCATCACCACCAGACTGGACTACTGCAATTCTTTTTATGTCGGTTTGGAGAAATCGTCTCCCCGTCTCCTGCAGTTAGTCCAGAACGCTGCTGCTCATGTTTTACTGGGAGCCAGAAGGCATGACGGCATCACTCCTGTTTAAGCTGATTTGCACTGGCTGCCTGCTCATTTGTGTATTGATTTGAGTATTCTTTTACTGACTTTTAATAAAGTTTTAAATGGTTTGGCACACAGTTATTTAATGGATCTTTGGCACTTTTACAACCCAAACGGAGCACTGTGATCCTCCAGTCGATGCTTTTAGGGTAAAATAAAAACACAAAGGGGATCGAGCTTTCGCAGTGGCAGCCCCCGGACTCTGGAACTCCCTGCCCATTGATATTCATGTAATCTCACCCCAAAAAAAAAAAATCACACAGGCTTTTATTTCAAGTTCAGTTTGAGTTCCATCGGAACCTCTTAGGTGTGCTTGTTTCTTGTTTTAGTTTGTTCTTAGCCATTTTTTTTATTATGGTTGTGATTTTCAAAATTTGATCTTCCATTTATTTTATTGCTAATTTTCCTGTTTGTGAAGCACTTTGGTCAACATTATTTTTAAATGTGTTATATAAATAAAATTGATATTGATATAAAACTGCCAATTTCCTTGTACTAATCATCTAGGTTAAGTCACTTATCTTTACCTAAATAAGACTAGATAGTTTTAACTGGCTTAACAAAATATGCAGATGACGAGGTTAAAACCCACTCTGCCAGCACCAGTAACATAATAAACCAACAGTTTAGTCTTTTTTATTTAAATTATGATCATCTGGCTTTTAGGAGCTTCTAATTAAAAAGAAATAAAGCAGCATTTTACACTTTAAACTAAAGAAGGCGCGGCAGAGATGCAAATGGAGTCGTGCAGACAGAAAAGTTGCCTGGGGAGGAGGTTATCAGTGCAAGGTAATTACCAAATGTTTGTTTTGAGTTTTTAAGGTATTCCAAAAAGATAAGAGGTGGTGAGATAAGTTGGAATGGAGCGGAGCCAAGTGCCACATTAGACTAAGTGGGCATCCTGTGTTCTGGTTTGCTATTAAAGCAGAGGAGAATGACAATGCTGCTGCGTCTGCATCACCAGTATTAAGAGTCTGTAGCAAGCATCCAAAGAGCTATGGCCACTCTTTAATGGCACACATCTGCAGAATGTCATGTTTTTACACTCCAAAGCAAGATGTAATTTTGTGCGCAGGAAGTACAAAGCTTCCTCGGACATCCGGAAGTTCTGGACCCACTGCGTTTCAGTGAATCCAGGAACAATAACGTCCCACCGCTGCATGCTTCGATCAAAGGTCCAGCCCAATGGTCTGTGGCCTGTGTGCTGTGGTAGTTTTTAAGTCTGTAGTGTAATGATGGTGAGAAGTATGTAACATGAAGTAACACCTACTGTGATATAAAAAAAATAGTGTTTTTATAGTCCAAATGGTGCTGTATACTGCAAGTTTATACTCTACATATGGTGAAGTTTGATGTTTTGAATTTGAGGCATCCCGTAGCATGTTCCAATTACAGTACACACACACAAAAAACCTACACATTTGGAAAAAGACCATGCACAATCGAATGCATTGAGTGTAAAATAAATCTAGATGCCATCAGTTTAATATTAGAACAAATAATAATAAAATACTGCTTTAAAATTAATATTAGATCAGAGGTGTCTAAGCTTCTGGGGGTAAGGGGCTGTCTGTATCTGACAGCTGCCATGAGGCTCAGATGGGCCGAACATTAACATCCATAAACAGCATTTTACCCGTTTGTGTTCAGCCTCACATTTGATTTGATCCTAAACTCCTCTTCATTTGTTCTCAGTCTTCTCTTCAGAGAAAGGTGCAAGTAGCAGAAACACTCAACATTTATTTCATGCAGGACTAAAGCTGTAATAAAGCCCCCCCAGAGCTCGTGGATTCTTGTTATTTGTGAATATATTTCATGCCGGGGCGAGAGAAATTCCTCTCTGCGTGTGTGGGTGTTTGTGTTTTATCCCCCGAGGAGTTTCAGTCTACCATGAAACAGTGTGTAATTATGTCCTTACTTCCTCTCTTCCTGTTTGTTTTTGTGTCTGCGTGTCCAGTACCTCCAGTGATACTGGTCTACCCGGAGACGCAAGCCCAGGAGCCCGGTGTGTCTGCCAGCCTCCACTGCCATGCCGACGGCATCCCAAATCCCAAACTCATCTGGCTGAAGAACGGCATGGATCTGCAGCTCAGTTCCACCACCCAGCTTTCTCTCATAGGTGAGGCAGGCGGGTTTGATTATTTTAGGAAGCGCTGTTGGCAGTTTGTGTTTCAGCAGATAGTTTTTCACTTCTCTGCACTGCTGTTTTTACAGTTTTCAGTAAAATATACCAGCAGGGCTGTAACGTGCACAACAGTCAAAATGGTGCATGAGAGAAATAAAACCAAAGCCAAGGTGGTGCATGATCTAAATAATGTTTTATGACATAAGTCTTTTCAGCCGCTCACCCGATTGGCATTTTATAATAGATTGATAAAAAAAAACCAAGAATGCAGTCATCCTCCTCAGCCGCCTTCTTTTTGCTCCACTGACAACGTAAACATACTTAAAACCAAATAACGTAACAAATTAAGAAAGACTGAAAAAACAAATACTGATTTAAAGTCTGTAAGATGCATTTGATCAGTGAGAGTGAGCAGAATGGGGTCTTCTTTGCGTTTTATGGCCTAATTCTCATTAAGTAGAGTTATTTGCAGTGTGGGTCATTACCTGTGGTAATAGCCAGTTCCCAACCTATACACAATCAAACCTGAGAGTTTTCTGCAAAGTTCAAGGATGCACAAATGCTGCCCTGGTTACAGTTTCTAATTTACCTTTATAAGTTAAAAAAGGCAGGAGTTGTTTATGAAGAAATCATTTGTTTTTCAATGTTTAAATATATGTGAAAAGTAGAAGAAATACTCTGAACGGTTAAAGAGATCAAAGCAAAGAGGTGATGCAGTTCAATGTAGTCCCATTTTAATTACACATTTCTTGTTTAAAATGTTTAATACAGATACTGTTTAAATGCTGATTCTGTGTATCTGTAGTCAGATCCTGGGCCTTTCACAGTATCAGACACAAACAGCCCTCAGAGGGGCTCCAAACTGTTTCAGAGCAGACTCAGAGCAGGGAGGTGTGGAAATATTGCACAAATGACCAAAATAATAAATCTAAGTCAATGTGGAGGACTTGGATCCATCTGTTCTGGAGAGATCTGGCTGTTTTGTAACATTTTAGTAACTAATAAATACCTCATAACTGCCCATTTGCGATTTTAGTTTTGTAATATATTTTTTAGCAATATGAAAAAATATGAAAAAACATAATTATGATCTCATCGGCATGAAGGAACTCAACAAAAAAAAACTGGTTTTATTTTTACATTATTTATTTGAAGGAAAGTTTACTGCATCGTTCTTCCATAAAATAAAACTAATCATTTGTAAACCTGAGACGATGTGTTCAGGAGCTGTCCAAAGTGCTGAAAATGGAGATAGATTTGATAACTGTGTTTTTAAAGTTTTACAAACGCAGATGAAAGTAAACTCTAATTAACATAAATTAAATCACACCATTTTATGTCTTAATGTTTGGTTTACAGCTGGTATTCATCACGACACGTTTCAGATAAGCTCAGGCAAATATCCATTATTTGGTTCCATCTGCAAACACATGAATTATTTTCCATAATCTTACAATAATGAAAAACATTGCAAGTTTTACCAACAAGGTTAAGGTCTGAACTCTGCGGGGGCCAAAATAAATGATTTGAAATGAAAATGTTTCACCCCTGAACCACTTTTTCATAATGAGGCATGATTACATTTTTCTACCACATATTTTAAAGATGACCGTTCATCACTTTGTTTGTTGGTTTGCATTTAACTGTTTGGAAATCAATTTTAATAGTTTAATCAATCCTCTTACTTTATTAGATTCAGACTAATATTTTGACCCTTCTCAGATGGAGATGTATTTCCCAAACATTGTTCCAACACTTGTTTTAGTTTGGGTTTCTCAACATGTAAGCTAAACTACACAAGTAACTGTTGAACTTTATTTATAGGCTCCTATTTGCTGAGGTGGAGTCATTTTCTTTGACTAGACTGTGTAAATTGTCCTGACAACCACGAGCAAATAATTACTTTAATGTGCATTTTATGAGTGAATGAAAACTGAGATGGTCATTACATCAAAATGAGCTGAGAAAGCATCTAATGGCAGCATCAAAGAGTTACAGTCGCAATATGTGAGCACTTAGGGTAGTTGCATCACCTACACACATAATCATAATCTAAATTATTTTATTACATTGTCACTTCTGATCATCTTTGTATTGCATCCAACCTTTTTTTTCTACCTTTCTCAGAATGAACCAAAGCAGATAATTTAAGGACTGGAACAAAACCAGTAAAAATGGAGCTGAAAATCTTCATGGGGTGGGAAATAAACAACTTTTTTTTTTCTTTTGGGGTGGGGGTATACTTTATATCCATGCGAGCATATATGTAGTATATTTAATTTATTTAAACTAAAAGGGATTTTCTTTACAAAAATCTACAAACAAAAATGTAGATATGAACACTGATTTAATTGGCCATTAATTACGTGGCGTTTCATTTCATGTTAAACAATCCAATCATAATAATAATAATTTTGGAAGTAATTAACGTGTTAATTAGTAACCAATTAGTTAATGTGTTTGCAGATGACATGATCTGTGGTGAGAACAGAGAACATGTGGAAGAGAACTCTTTTATTTTAACTGCATGTTTACTGTAGTTTATTATTGTATATTGTTACTGTTGTCTGTACTTTATATGTTCTGTCTGGAACAGGTGTCTCTTGTAAATGAGTCCTCGTGGCTCAATGAAACTAACCTTTATTAATAAAGGTTGAATGGATGAAAAAAAAACCAAGAGAGGTGGAGGTATGCACTTGAAAGAAGAGGAATGGAAGTCAGTCATAGTAAAACAGAGTACATGTGTGTGAATGAGAGGGAGGAGGTGGAACAGTGAGGCTACAAGGAGCAGAGGTCACAAAGGTGCAGGACTTCAAGTACTTGGGGTCCACTGTCCAGGAAAATGGGGATCATGTTAAAAAGGTGGAGAAGAGAGTCCAGACAGGATGGAGAAAAGTTTCAGGAGTGATGTGTGACAAAAGAGTGTCGGCAAAGATCAAAAAGTTTACAAGACAGTTGTGAGACCAGCTATGTTCTATGGGCTGGAGACAGTGGCATTGACAATAAGACAGGAAAAAGAACTGGACGTAGCAGAAATAAAGATGTTGAGGTTCTCCTTAGGAGTGACAAGGATGGAAAAGATTAAGTATGATATCATCAGAGGTACAGCACAGGTTGAACAACTGGGAGATAAAGTTAGAGAGACCAGACTGAGATGGTTTGGACAAGTCCAGAGGAGAGACAGTGGGTATATTGCTAGAAGGATGTTAGAAATAAAGCTGCCAGGAAAAAGACAAAGAGAAGATCTAGGTATGCAGTTAGAGAGGACATGGAGGTAGTTGGAGTGAGGACAGAGTGAGATGGAGGAGGACGACTCGCTATGGAGACCCCTGAAGAGGGTAAAGCCAAAAGAATACAAAGTAATTAATGTGTTATTGTGGGATATACTATTTTAAGGCAGGATTTTTCCTCTTTAAGTTAAGCAAATGATTGTACACATCATAAATATGTAGGAGTAAATACGCCACCACTCCCCCACAAAGGTTAGAGAGGTGGGCTTGTGATCCAAAGATCGCCGGTTCACGCCCCGGCCCCGACATCAAAATTGTGGGTGGGGTAGGGGAAACACCCACACTTGCCCCCACCCTCATTCGCCCCACTCTGGGCCCATGAGCAAGGCCCTTAACCCCACCATGTGTTCCCTAAACAGGTCTCTCTTGAAAATGAGTTCTCGTGGCTCAATGAGACTAACCTGGATAAATAAAGGCTAAATGAAAAAAATACATATATATATATTCAGTTATGTTAACTTCTAACCCAGTAGATAATAAAATGAATGACTGAGGTAATCATTAATGTAAAACCAGAGTGTAGCATTTAATTTTCTTTCTTTTTTTAAAAATAAGTGTTATGGAACTGTTTGAAATATGTATTTCTACTTAAATATAAAAGTTTAAAAATTATAGGGTGAGTGTTTGATGCTGCAAGGGTTCATTGTTGCTATGGTTCGTTTCATGGAACAGGAGCTACAAACTAAAGGTGTCTTTAATGTTGTTTAGACAGCCTGACTTGTGAGAGCTCCACTGTGGCTCCTGTGATTCATGTGGAGCTACAGGATGGATCAGAGTGCTGCCGTATCGGCCATCACTGAGCCGAGGGATGCTGTGACCATCAACGACCTCTCCTTTGATGATCTCTTTTCTTCTTTGAAACATGATCAACATCACCTGCAACAACAAGAACAATGCTGTCTTGTGGCGCATGGGGTGGGGATAAAAACTGTAGTTTGAAAATGGGTTTATTCTGTTTTTTTTTTGTATATTTTAGATGACTTTATGTAGAATTGTTGTTCTGTAATTTAAACACACCAAATCTTAAAGAAGCTTTGTAACACAAATTTAACTTCTGTTTATTGATACAGCAACACATCTCAACAAAGTTCATGTCAGGTCACTGCACAAAAAGCATTCTCATACATTATAAAATGTCGATTAGTAAACTTTTTCTAAGGAAACCAGCAGATTGTGTTGAAACTTCACTCCATTTTGAGCAGCAGTTTGGTGACAGTGGAAAGAAACAACTCAGTTTTAACAGAAATAAACCTTCAGCAGAGCCAGGCTCAGGACGGGCAGCCGTCCACCTCAGCTAATGTTGGTTAGAGGACAAGAATGAGACACGAACCAACACAGGAGCATCGGTGCAGGTGTACATTCTAATTTGGGATAAAAAAATAAATAATTTAAAAAGACACGTTTAAAAAAAACTGTTTTGTAATTTCTTTTATAGTGTTCAGTGTGAATATATAGAACAAAAGAAGCAGCATGTTTGTAAATAAGGTTTTCAGCAAATACACATCTAATAATGTGAACCTAAAAATTTGAAACAGTTTGTTGAAATTTAATAAAACTCATCCTGTCTGCTTCATCTTGAACCCTTGTCTCATATGGTTATAGTTCTTACCTTTAGGAACAATTTAGTATTTATTAAACTTAATATTTGTGCGTAGTTCTACGTCTTTATGTATTTATCTGCTCGAGATCTTTGGATGTTCTTTGGTTTTTGATCTTTCTCAGCCGCTCTGAGCTGAAATTCAGTCTAAAAGGTGATCAACAAAATGTTAAAATTGTTCATCAGAGCACATCATTTGTGTCTCCTCACCGTTTGCTCTCTTGCAGCTAATGGTAGCGAGCTGTTTATAGCTAGTGTTCGCTACGAGGACACTGGAGCCTACACCTGCATCGCTAAGAACGAGGTTGGAGTGGACGAGGACATCTCCTCTCTATTTGTTGAAGACTCAGCCAAGAAGACCCGTAAGTTTTACATTGCCAAATTTTATTTTTTAACAGTACAAATAATAATATGAAAGGAAAAATCATGGATACAATAGCTTAACAAATGTGCATATTATATCTGGATAGCCCAAAAAAAAATGGCTGCAGGACACAAATTAAAAATAAAATATAACTAGCCCCATGCTAGCAAAGAGGATTAGGACCACGGTGCAATTTTTTCTTCCTTAATTCTGAGAAAAAATGTCTGAATTCTGAGATTAAAGTCAGATTCATAATGGTAATTCTGACTTTTTTATTCTTAGAATTGGTGAAAAAAAATATATATATTTTTTTGCACCGTGGCTCTAATCCTCTTGCGTACCATGCTCACAAATAATTAATTCAAAATTATTATCAGGTTAAAGTGAATGTACAACATTAAAAACTCAAGCACTGGCCCTTAGTTTGTTTTATGATTATTATTCTCAGGAGCTGACAAAAAGCTTTCAGTAAACATAACTTGAGTTTTTTTTCTTTTTTTTAATGCCCACATAGTATAAGACATTAAGATCTGGGTTGGAATTAAATGAGGCAAACAAGATGCAAGTCAGAATAATTTTCTGAAAGCTGGTAAAGGTTTAATTTATTTAGACATTTCTAACATATCTAAAAACAGAAGCGTGAGTACATGCTCAGTGTTTAGTTGCATAAACTTTCCACTTGTCTGTAGTGATCTCAGTGAAATCTCATTATGCAGCTTTTTATTCAACATGATTTCACATTTTATTCAGAACATTGCCTCATTTCAAGGAGATAATGAGCATCACCTATAAGTATTTCAATTTGATTAAAAACAAACACAAGATGCCTTGTTGCTCCTCCAGATGATGATTTAAAATATAGAGGCTTGTCAGGAACAGGGGAGAAAGTTTGAAGTTATTGAAGTTATAGCTTGTAGCTGGGTTATTCAACTGATGGTTCGTGGGCCAAATATGGACCAACGGTGAGTTCAGTCCGGCCCACCAATGAGATCATTTAAAATACGACTAATTTTAAATCAGAATAAATATTGAAACATTTAAAACATCTGAAATTACCTATATTTCCATCAGTTTTTCCTGCTATACAGGTGATCAACACAAAACAACTGTCAATGACTTTACTGAAAATATAAGTAGGCTTTTTATTATAAACTAAATTTATATAATGACGAGTTGCTGGATGTCTGTTCCCTAAGCTTTTGGTTTTTAGTAACTGTGGCCCACTGGGAAACTTAGTTGAATAACCATGACATATAATATTTGTTAACGAAAAGTATTTAATGTTTTTCTCCACTTTTTCTTCTCCGCTGCTCATCGTCTGACTCTGCAGTCGCAAATATTCTTTGGAGAGAAGAAGGTAAGTACATTTAAAACAATTTAAATTGTTTCAATTTCAATCACAATTTTAAGTTGTGGCAGCGTGTTTTGTAACCTCGACTGTCATCACCTGAATATTTACTGTTCCAAGATGGTTGCTGTGTAAACCAGCCACACTTTTTCCAGCAAAAAAAAAAAATCTTTTGAGTACTTCCCTTCTCTTGTTTTGCTCAAAAATAATCCATGAAAGTGCGTTTTTTTTATGTTAGATAACAAAGTGTAAAAACAGTCAGAGGAATGCAGTCTTTTGTTTTGAAGTCATATCAAAAACTACAGACTCAGCGCTGTGGCTACCAATAAAAACAAATTGGTGGTTTTAGGTGGAGAACAAATCATCCTTTCTTTATGTTGCCATTTTTTTTTCAAACCAACAGTTTTACTAAAGTACCAACACGTCGGGAAATCCACTGCAATTTAGAAGGAAATAGAAATGTAATCTCTTTTTGATAAATTACCCCCATTGTAAGTTTAAGGCAGCGTTAAATGAGCCAAAGTAATAGAGAAACCTGTGAAAGCATTTGGAGTATTTATTTCTGTTTAGAGGCTCTTAGGAACAGCTACACCAAATAAACAGAAAAGACATCACTTGTTAAATCTGCATGCATAAATGTTTTAGTGTTATGTGCATGCTTGGGTATTTATCATTTTTACTTCACAGTAAGTTTCAGGCTGCTGAGCAACACTCACTGAGATGCTGTCGGATGATGTTATATTGCAAGATTAAAGCCTTTAGACCCTGACAGATCAATCACACCCACAGTTATTGTCTGTGAATGCATTTTCTGAATGTTTATGCAAAAACAAAGGCTTCTTTTTGGTCACGTGATGCATTAAGTGAAGTCACTTTATCTATTTACAACAGAAAGACAGGAAGTACCAACAGAATTTGATTCCACTTGTTACAGTAAGTTTTGGACACGTCGTTGACAGGGCCCTTTGTTGGCGTTGTCAAAGCTTCTGGCAGCTGCACACTGCCCATCCTCACTAACATGAGAGCTTGCTAACAGGAGCCACTGTGTGCCCCTTCCAGCAGGGACTGAAATTGAAATGTCCATCACAAATGTCGGATAAAACGAGAGTGGCATTTAGTGCCGTTTTCAGTTTGTTTTTTGTTCTTTCCGTGACAGCGTTTCTCTTGTCTTCAAGGGTTGAGTGTGGGAAACATGTTCTATGCCTTTTCTGACGAGGGCATCACCGTTCTCCAGCCCAGTGAATGTGAAATACGCAGACACATGAAGAGGACAGAGAGGATTGTTGCAACCTATGTAAGTACAAGCGGGTGATGGAGGAACACATTCAATACAAAGAGAGAAAATGTAAAGTAGGTTTCAGGATACTGCTGATATAGATCATTTTTTAAATCTAATTTTGCATGAGGTAAAACACACCAACGTTATGGCATTAATCTGGCCTCCAGCTCTAATGTTAAAAATCTTGGTGTTATTTTGGTCAAGACATGTCTTTTATCCCCCACATTAAAAATGTTACCAGAACCTCCTTGTTCCACATGTGTAATATTGCTAAAATTAGATAACATCTCATCTAAAAAAATGATGCAGAAAAGTTGGTTCATGCATTTGTTACTTCTAGACTGGACTATTACAATGGTTTGTTATCTGGGTGTCCAAAAACTTATTTAAAAAGTCATCAGTTGATCCAAAAATGCTGCTGCCAGACCAAGTTTTAGCTTCTCTCCATTGGTTTCCTGTCAAATTCAGAATATAATTCAAAGTCTTACTTCTAACCTACAAAGCCCTCAATAACCTAGCTCCATCTTATATTTGAGATCTTATTGTTCCATATTTTTACAACAGAGCTCTTCCCTCTCAGACTGCAAGTTTACTTGTGGTTCCTAGAGTTTCCAAAAGCAGAATGGGAGGACAATCTTTCAGTTATCAGGCTCCTCTCTTGTGTAACCAACTTCCAGTTTCTGTCTGTGAGGCTGACACATATACAGTTTTAAAACTGGGCTTAAGACTTTCCTTTTTTGATAAATCCTTTAGTTAGGGTTGGCTTGTTATGCTGCTATAGGCTTATGGCTCCCACAGACTCGGGCGTTTTGTGAGCCGCGCAGACACTACACTCAATGTCTGCAGACAGTTGACTTTATACTCGAACGTACACCTTGACGGGCTGCTGCACAGCTTCGCAGGCAAGGGGCGTTTACCTTCGGGACAAATTGAGTTCACAGATTGGTCATTTGCTGATATGCTTACTGGACTGATTGACAGGTCACAAAAAAAAAAAAAAAACATAGTTGGCAGCAAGCGACAGCGGTGTTCTGTGTTTATATGTTGCTAATAAAATGTTCTAAAAAATAAAAATCACAGGGGGCGCTGGCCCTGCAGCCCACACATCAGACCAGCCCACTGGGAAATCTCCAGACCCTCCCACAGCCACACTGGACCTGATTTTAATTAGCTCGGGACAATTTCTCACAATTTCAGTCATGGCGGCAACGGACGAGGAGGAAGAGATCGCTTGCCTCTTGATGCTATATTAATTGAAATGAACCGAAACTGAATTGAACATTATGTCATTGTGATGTTATTGTTGCATCATAATGCAAAAAAAACAAGATAACTTGTAGTTTCTAGAGAACTCATATTTGGTAAAATCTTGGAACTGTGTCTACTAAAGCTCACTTTGCTGAACACAGGTCTACCAGCCTTCACATTCCTCACCAAATATCTTCATTTGTATATGGTACAGGTAAGAATTTCCGTTTAGAGCAGATTCTCATCCTCCACTTCTCTCCTGATGTCACAGTGTGACTCCTCAACTCACTAAATGTAATGGGATTACCTGTGTCCATTAGTCAACAGCTAAGTACAATACAGTACAATAGAGTCTATACCAAAGGCCTTGGGGGTTTTAATCCAGTGGATAACATCCATCTCCCAGAGTAAGAAGCTTTAGATGCTAAAAGTTTCTTGTTCCTGTGGGATTTGGGTTTTTACAAGCGGGTGTAATTGTATTAGAGATCAATACCAACTCAATAAGCCACGTGTTAGTCAGTTCCTGCTATAAACAGCAGTTTCTTCACTTTGTGCTTCAAGTGTGTCCACGTTCTCTCTGCCTCACCAATCTATGCGTGCGGTCAAGTTTTTCTGTGTTTGTGAAGTCCACTACAGTTATCGAGTCTGGAGGCTTTGTTTGCAATAAAACACCAAAACCCACAAGTTTAAAGGGTGGGCTTGAAGGTCAAAAGTTGGTTACGGGGTTAACGTTAGAATTACATTAAGGTTGGGTTTTTCATTATGTTGGAGGTCAGGTTTAGAGACTGGGGGTTGTATTGTGTGAATAGCAGAGCCTCAGAAGAAAACTAAAGGTGTGCATGTACAAAGAGCAAGTGCAGGTGTGTGGCTAAGTGCCTTGTCAGCAAAGGCATTGTGCAGCAGCGCCAGCAGAGGTGTTATATTATTTGAACTAGAGGCAGAATTGTAAATCTGTTCATTACTGAGGGTATAGTAAGTCGACTCGCAAACTCTGAGTGGAAAAAGCATATTCTGTATAGATTAATCATCTCAACTAAATATTTTCAACCGTTTTGTCTCTTTGCAATGCTTTTCATTCTTCCATCCTCCTATTTTCTGTCTTTGGCTTCTCTCAGGAGGAGATGTGCCCTAAAGGCGAGGGGATTTCACCTCAGCACTGCGTGTGGTCTTCTGCAGTCAACGTCAGAGATAAGTACATCTACGTGACGCAGCCTCTACAGAGCCGACTCCTGGTCATCGATATTCAAGCCCAAAAGGTGGTTCAGGTGGGTGGAAAAGGTTGAGAGGTGCATCTGTTTAACACAGCAAGCATTTCAGAACTTCAACTAGAAGTTAGTAACTACATTTGCAGTGTTCATATAAGCTTCTAACTTTGCATTATGGGGAAGCTGAAAGTAGTGATTTGCTATTGAAGGAAAATATCTACAAGTTGAATAATTATAAGACTTACAAGGAACAAATAATTACATATTTCACTTTTTTTATGTTATCATTGGGATACTTTGCACATTTTAACATCTCAGCCACTTTCATCTAAGTCGTGAAAGATTCTCAGACAGAGTCCACCTGATTGGTTCAATATACAATATTACATACAGAAGATGAATACATGACAGTTAGAAATAAAATACCATATAATTTATTGTCATTTATGCTGTCCTTTGGAATATTCATTAAATAAGTTTTGGCTGAGAAGACTATTTTAATACTCCTTGGCACATCCTTTGAATTAAACTTCCAGAGCCATTACTGTCCTATTATTTATACCCTCTTGAAACTGAATGCTACAACTATGTTGTCCTAGTACATAAAACTGCCTTTAACTTAATCTTAGGTTTGTGTATTTAGATCTGGAGTTATTTGCAGATAATAGCCAATAAACTCCAGGCGTGATTCATTTTATTAGAATGACTTGTTCACATTCACTGTCATAAAAAAAAAAAAAAAAACTGTTGTCAGTTTTTGAAAACTGCTATTGAATTGCTCATTTGCAGTGAAAGGTTTATAAGTTGAGTTTAGTTCAACAATAGTTTAGTTTTAAAAAAATAGTGACAGAGACGGTATTGAAATTATTCTTATTCAAAGTTAGAACAAAAAGTCAACAACAGGTACATTGAGAATATACATCTCATCTAAAAGGACGTCTGCAAGGGAAAAATAAATCAAAAGTACCTGAAGCGTTCGAAACAATATGGTGCCCAGGTGGGTGCTGGCTGCCTTGCCATTTATCTTGCCTGTAACGGCTGTTTAGAGACTGAATCCCTCAGAGTCCTTCCCAGGGTCAGCATCATTTATACTAAGGTGCAGGATGAAAGGAAATTGGCCCAAGTCAAGGAGAAGGTGGGAGAGGAGAGAGGATATGAGCTAAAAGTCTGAGCAGAGAGAATGATGCAAAGAAAGGATGAAAAAGAGACACAGCCCACTGTGCAGGTCGCAGTGCAGAAATGTCATTATAAACCCGTTAAATGACCTTGTTATCCAGGCAGGAAAATAGGACTTAATGCATGGAGGGATTATGAAACAAGAGGCCTCTGGACACAGGCGTGTAAAAGATCCTCCACTCGTCCTTCTAAAAGGTTGACTCCCAGACTGAGATAGACACAGAACGAGTGGAAGCCGTGCAGATGCAACGTGCTGACATTCTGCATTTCCTATTTTTGTTTCACGGTTATATAAATATATCCTGACATCTTCTATTCGTGTTCATTTTTGTGTCTGTCTAGTCTCTTGAATTGTTTTAACTTTCCGTTTTGGTCATTCACAATAAATTTTACTGCCACTTTATTTTCTGCCACTTCATGTAGTCTTTGTACATTTGAGGAAACATTTTCTGTGACATTTAGTTTCTTTAATACCCTTTTGCATCCCTGTTTGACTTCTTTTAATGTTTGCACATGTCTGTTTGATTTAGGGTTTCTTTTCTATATATATGGCTTTATAAACCCTTCCCAATCTCTTGCAATGTCCTAAACTCTTAAACCTACATCATTTTATCAACATACGTACTTTGTATATGTACAGTAGTCCCTCGTTTATCGCGGGAGATCCGTACCCTGAAACCCTGCGATAAGTGAAAAACCACAAAGTAGGAATAGTAGTACAAGTAGTAAGTGGTAGTTTATTCTAGTATATATATATATATATATATATATATATATATATATATATATATATATATATATATATATATTTATTAAGGTGTTTTAAACCCCTCCCACACTCTTGCAATATTCTAAACAATGTTTCTAAACGCTCTAAAGGAGCACAGAATGTCATGATTTCAGCTCCCTGCCTCTGCCGCTCTTTGGCACCTGCAAGCGTTCTTGGCCACGCCCACTTCTCCGCTCTGCACGGAGAACAGCTGATCAGCTGCAGCAGGAAGCTTATCCTGCAGTGTGGGCTGCACAAAGGTGCAGCAGGTGCTAAATAATTAAATATATATATTTTAAATAAAAATTTCTTGCAGATCGTGCCGCTCACCCATCAATCAGCCAATTGTGTGTCATGCCCAATGTTATTTTGAAAAGCCGCGGTAGAGCGAGTCAGCGATGAACAAACAACGAAGTAGCGAGGGACTATGTATTTGAAATGTACAGTACTGTAAAATTTTACTCACCAGCTCTGAAGATCAGAAGCTCAATTCCAGTCAGGCTCAGTTCTGGTTCTGCAGACCTACCCTGCAGTGACAAATCCCACCACCTGTACAGGGTGGTGGGTTTCGGGGATAATTGAGGGTTATCCCTCAATTATTGATGTGTGCGTGGATAATGGAGCTTCAGGAAGCTTCAGGATTATTTGCGACTTTCCTGCCAGTTCTGTGAGCCTAATAGATAGATCGTTAGTACTGACTTTTCGTTGCAAACCTTTCCCTCCATTTCATCCGGAAGCACTTTTGGCTTCTGGGTAGTGTAGTTCTTTTGACTGGTGTTACAGTATAGGCTTATTGAAAGAAAACTACAAAATAGTGGCGCCTGCAAGTATTTTTTTACATTAACTTTTTATCCCAAACCGTTCGAATGACGAGTAATATTAAAGTTGACAATTGTGTGTCGTGTACAATCTTGCGTTGAAAAATCGCAAAAAAACGAGTCCGCGAAAGATGAACCACAAAGTAGCGAGGGACTGCTGTAATTACTAAACTGTAACACAAAAAAATCTGTAAATAAATAAAACTATTCACTATTTTGGTTTGTAATATGTAATAATATTGGTGATATCTTTTCCATTTGTTTCAAGTAAAATCAGACTGATTCGAAAGTTAAAAATGTGATCATTGTTTTTTTTTTCCAACTTAAGAATTAAACTTAAAAGAAAAGTTTAAGACATAATGGATTGAAAAGCAGAGTGCTTTGGCACATATGTACAGAAAGATGTTTTCCCAAACTGTGGCATTATTACCTTTGACATTCTCTGACCCACCAGCTGCTCCCTTTCCTGTTTTACTCCATCAAACACTGTAAAACCACTTTCTCATCCTTTATTGCCCTTTCACTGGGCTCCTGCCCCCCCTCACTGGCCTCAGAGTGCAGAAGGTTAATGCATCTTCCATTTCTTTTCTGCTTTTCTTCTCCTTCTCTGTTATCTCAAAGATCCCCTTCTTCAACAAAGAACATTGGTAACTTCTTTTCAAAAGTGGCTTTTAAAAGCAGGGAGAAGATGGCAGCTGTACTGACAGGGAGCATGCATGAACAAAACAGACCTACTTTTTAACAATAAATTACAGCTGCTGCACAAAATTTTCCATACATGTTGAAAATCTCTACATTTATTAAATACCAATATTATTCTGACTGTTTTTTTGAGAATGCTTGTTAAAAACTTACAAATATAATGTGCACAAGCGTATATTATTGTTACATTTCAGAATAAAATGCCACCACATTTATGCTGTGTGAAGATATCCATGAAAGTTTAGATAGAAAATATTGATGCAAACCATTAAATCCAAAAAAAGCTGAACAAATTTTTATTATCATTCCTTTTTCATTGCAATTTGTTCAGCCTTTTATTTTGTTCAGTTTCAAACAGTAGAACCATTGTTATTTTCCCCAGCAGAGAGATCCAACCTTGAATATGTGGTTTCACTCATGTGCTAGGAAAACTGTAATGGAAAAACAATGGTGAACCAGACAAATGGAGAGATCCAGATGGCAAAAACGTCTGTTTTACTGCCTGTAGTGATTCCTCTGGAGGATCCAAAGAAATCGGTGTGATAAAGTGAAGTTTTTATTTAGGATTTTGTTATGATTTTCCTTTGGAGCCCAACTTTTCCTTTTAAGCGGTTTAAAAATATGATGGTTTCTTAAAGAATAAGAGGGATCCCCAGTGCCGTGCATTAGCATTTTTATTTCTGTTTGGCACTGAATATTCTCGGGTGGAGCTCATCTGACACAAACTCTGCATTCATTATTCTGACATCTTTCTACTTGGTATGTTTTATTGTGTATCTGCAGGTCTTTACCACCGAGTTTGTTCACCTCAAGTTACCCTCACTAAGTCAAGTATGATTTAGTGTGTTTTTTCCCCCAAGATACATATAAAGTATAGTTATTGCCTCCAAATCTGGTAGAAAATTGTATTACATTTAGTTTTTTAGTTTTTTTCAAGGCAGTGAGTAAAAGATTTGAATTGTTCACAGCTAATATTAAATTGCTGTCATTTTTCCTGTTTCAGATTTGTTTTATAAGCTATTTTCTGATTTTCTGTTCCAAATGCACTGCGAGATATAAAGGTAAAGAAGCTTGAAATGATAGTGTTATCCATGCAGCTCTGCTGTACAAAGGAGTGGGTCCTTCATCGTGGCTGAAGACACATTCAACATATTCCAGCTTACCTTCAAATGTAGTGTGGGTGATTTAACTTCCAGACCCGCACAACCATGAAAAGGATAAAACATGTGCATTTAATAAATAAATGTGTTCTCAATTTTCTGCTTTCCCAAAATACATGTTAAAGCCTAAAACAGAGCCTCGACTGCAACAGCCAAAAATGTAAAGCTCATAGATAAACCCTCAAATATGCAGACAATACAAGTATAAATAATCTATTAGTTAGATATTTAAAACTAAAATAAAATGATTTTGTTGAATTTTGCCAAAATTATGTTTCTTTCTTTACTTTACTCGTGGCAAGATGCAAGCTTATTAAACGTCTGCTCGTTATTTAGCTTATTAGTTCAGCTGAGGCAATGTCCCACAAGTTAAAACATCTGAGTGATGTTTAGTATTTCATTGCTTCACCATATGTCAGTTTTTTGCATAAATTAGCATGCCCTGTGACTTATATGGCAAAGCAATGTATTTGTTTTTCCCCATATTTATAGCACAATTTTTGACTAACAGCTGACCATTTTCATACATTCTGACCTGGAAAATATTGAACACTACCATTATCAGCCACTAGAGAGAGCTTGAGAAATATGGCAAGCCCAGTGTCTCATTAATAGGTAAAAATGGCTATTAACGAGACACCTGACTTGCCATACAAAGCCACCTTTGTCTCACTCCAGAACTCCTAGAGCAAACGTCAAATCAGCTGCATTTCGCTGTGCCACCCAGGTGAAATGCAGCTGATTTGACCATTAAAGTGCATGTATTAAGAAAAAGTTCAACTGAGACACACCTTTGCTATAATCTTAAGCAAACAAATAATTGTTTCAAGTGTTAAGCTTGTTAAATTTTTGTTAAAGTCCTCCCGTGCGCGCTCCCGTAGGCGCCATCTGGCAGCTAATCTAGTTTTGGCACAACACCGGTGATGCATAACAGATGCGACTTATACGGTAAAGCGACATAGTTTTTTTTTTCCACTTTATTAGATGCATTTGGACTGATGCGACTTATATGGCGGTGTGACGTGTACGGCGGCAAGCATGGTATTTGTGATACTTAAAAAAAGGCTAAGTGAGATAAAGAAAGTGGGATGTTAAGCAGTTTGTTGGCTTCTAAAGTTTAATATTCTAAAAAAATCATCTCCATCAATTTTCTATGCTGTACGACCCTGTTCAGGTTCAGAGGGAGCAAATCTCCAGTGGTTAATAGGTGAGAGGTTCAGTACACCCTGGACATGTTTCCAGTCCTTCACAGGGCCACAAAGAGGCTGACGATCATCACACTCCTAGGTTTAATTTAGAACTTCCAATTAACCTTGAACAACCAAAAAAATAAATTTCACACACATCCAAACTGCACAGAAAGGCTCCAGTTGAGTTTCACACCTACAACCACCTTGCTGTGAGGGAGCAGTGCTAAACAACAGTTCCATCATGCAGTCATGAAAATAATGTATTTTCAAAGCAAAAGCTTGAGATGATTTACTCTGGCCACAACATTTATTTGTACAAATTAATGCATAAACAAATATTCCCTTAATCTAATTCCAACATTTCCTTATTCTGGAAATTTGGAGTTCCATTAGCTTCCAGGTTGCAGCATTGAAGGTCTGGCCTCAGCTTTACCTTTTCTTCAATCATGCAGAAACACACACACACACACACACACACCATTCACCTTCTCCTCAAACCATACATGGGCACATGCTGAGTTGACACTTGGCTGACCGGTGCAGAGCAGAGGGCTGCACCTCCCATTACTGACAGCAGAGCTTGTGGTCTCGCTCCACTGGTGAGAGTGTCAGCAGCTCCCCATCCACTCAGCCAGAAGCAGGGTAATGGATTGTGTTATTCCTGGTTGTTGATGTTGCAGCAGATCTAAGGTTGAGTTTATTCCCCGCCTTGCCTATTTCACACACGCTCCTTTCCTAGCTTCCTCCTTCATGTCTGTAGATTATTGCCTATTCTTTCTGTTCTCTGCCCTTGATTCCAGCTGTGTGTCAGATACCACCATCATTAAAACCTCTCCAACAGCAACAGAGTAAAACTGAAGGCCGTAGTACATGATGCATGTCCAGTTCTGAATCATTTTTGCTTTGCATCCCAGTGTCTTCATGATGCAAGTGTAGCTCTGTTGACTTTTAGCCCTTCAGGGGGTTTTATTATTTTCTGCAAAAAGATTATCTTCTGTTCATGCATAGTATATCCTGATTTAATGATGGCTAATCTGACCTGGATTCCTGAAGTATTAAATACAATCATTACGCCTGCATTATTTTGCAATTATCCGTCTTCACTAACAGATAAAACAAAGAAGTGAGCCACTGTTTGATTCAGCAAATACAATCTTAGAAAGCGTCAAAATGACTAAAAATTAGAAATCTGTCATCCAGGGAGAGCTGAGTGGTATTTCTGCTCTTTTGCATTGAAATGAGTCAGTTAAGGTAGTTTGGACTTCTGATTGGGCTTTCTGGCCACATCCCTCTAAGAGGAGGCCCCGGGGCAGACCCAGAACTTGCTGGAAGGATCGTGTTATCTTCTCTGACCTGGGAAAGCCTTGGGGGTCCCCCAGGTGGAGGTGGAGGGTGTCCCTGGGCAGAGGGATGTATGGGTTTTTTCTATCCTGGACCTGTTGCATCTTATACCCAACTACAGATAAGTGGTAGAAGATAAAAAATTAGAAATGTTGCTTTAAAATTGTCCAGCACCAAAACAAAGTCAAAATGTTAACAGTAAATTTAAGAATATACCTTTTAGAAAGCAGGGCATCTACATAGTACAAACAAATTCAGCTCAAATTGCATATCTTTTTTTATCTATATTGCATACCTATAGCTCCTGTTTATATCTGTTTTAGATTAATTTGATTCAACATTAAGAGCAAAGTCTAATGTGTTTTGTTTTCCTGCACTCTTTTTGTCCTGCAGGCAGTTGCAACAGATCCTTTTCCAGTGAAGATGCTCTATGACAAGTCACATGACCAGGTGTGGATATTAACGTGGGGAGATATGGACAAAACACACCCAACACTTCAGGTAAGTGGTCATTTTAAATCTCCACCAGTGGCTGAAAAGAAAAACAAGTGACTGAATTCATTCTTATAAAACTACTCAAATGAACCAGATCTTAAATAATCTGATGCCAGGATCTCTTTTTTTTTATTTTACTTTTTTCACTTTAGCAGCCTCATATTTAAATCAGACTGATTATTTTGCATAAACTGAGCTTAGGGAATCAAATACTCTCTAACCTACACTTCTGCAGTGTGAACAGTGATGAGCGATTAGATTCCCGAGAAAAATAATTTATATAAGCTGCAGACGGTTTAAGTGAGAACACTTGAGCTCAGTTGTGCGCCTACATCTCTGTTTATGTGCCATAAGTATGATGTGTTCGAACATATTAACTATGCATGTTTTAAAGCACAAGCCAGATAAACAGTAATTCACAGCTGCACTGTTCTCAGCTTGCGCCTGGCGTCCCTTTGGACCACTGATGTTGGGAGACTTCACAAATGAGAAATGATCACAGGTGTGGTTGTATTTAATCCACCTCAGGGGACTGGGCAAGATGAGGGAGGAGAGTGAGGATGCAGAGAGGGTTGAGGAGTTAGAGAGGGAAGGGACCAGGACTGGTACTTGTGGGAGAGGAGTGATGCTGTTTATAAAGAGCCAGTACTCTAGTGTTCTGTTTGTCTGTGTAACAGTGCGGGATGCTGCAGTGAGTAAAGCCACCGAGGGAGCTCATTGTAATCTCTGAAACAGACACAAACATATGTATTGTTCCACTCAGCCCCACCGGTGGGAGGGCTCTATTGATGTGTTCAGTCTTTGTGGTTTGGGGATGTTTATTACAGTAAATGTGTAGTTATAATACAAATTCAGATTTATTATTTTTCTGTTTGAATGGTTGTCTTGAACTAAATGATTTTGCAATCTCAAAATCTCTTGAATACATAAGTGTTTTGCCAGCACTGGCTTTAGTTTAGAGTGGTAGGGATTTTATAAGAATTACCAGACTAGATATCCCAACAAGATATTTCAAAGTATCTTTTATTAATTATTGTTCGTTTTGTTTTATAATTATGCTTTGATTGCAAAATGGTTGGATCCAAAGGTGCCACTATAGGCTGAAAACAAGATAAAAAAACTAATGAAAAAAGAAAACCAGCCGTCTGTGTGTGGGTTTTAACGGTTTTTCAACAAGGTCAAATTTGTGTGGCCAAACAGGCTGCAAGTTTGAGCGCTTACATTTTCCTGTTGTTCTGTTTTGCACTTTCTTCGAATAATTTTCTTCTTTGTAGCTGTCACATCATGCATCCCTTTGAGCAGTGGATATTAGACATGTTTAATAGCCGTTAGTTGTACTATAATCTTCAATAAAGCAGAAAATGATTAAAGAATGTTTAAAGCACGAACATTTTCCTCTTCTATAAGCTGCAATGGCACAGAGTTTTGCAGGAAATGCAGTTTAGTACTTTTCATTTCATCAGTTTCCCCTCTTTCCTGGATGCAGAGGTAATGAATAATTAGTGAGCAGGGCATGAATCTATCAAAAATGCAATTGCATGGAAGTCACATAATGGATTGAAGGCCGCATGGCTCCCGCCACCAATAAATGTTCCGCTAATGTCATTATCGTTTTGACTGAAAGTAATTGACCTGTTCAGGAGCAGCCTGTCACTACCTGAGGCGTAGCATTGCTTCAGCGGATCATACATGTGTATGCGTGTCATTCTCTGTTTGAGCACTCGTGGTGTGTAAATGTGAATTCATCTCAGTGTGTGAGACAAGAAGCAGCAGAGTTTGAGGAAAGTTCAATAACTCTGTGTAAATTTCAAAGGGAGTGTGATCGTCAATTCATTATAGAAGGAAATGGAGGCAATGTGTCAGGCCTTTGAAGTTGTCCATCCAGTCTGGATCTTTCTGTAAAAAGCATACAGTCATGGTAAATTGTAACAATACTTTCATTCCTGATGCTATAGATTAGGACATAATGGCACGCCTATCTTGTCACATTGTAACATAAGATAAACAATAATAGATTCCATTTTTAAAGACTATAATAAAGAAGCGGTGTGTGCGCACACTCACTACTTATGTAGGAATATTTAGAATGAGTAGCTGCTACATACAGGATTCATAATGCACTTTATTAGCTAAAAATAACCTAATATACATTTTTGGAGTGTTTTTTGCTTTGAAGCATGCAGGTGTGTTCAGTTCACCCCAAGGTCAGGCCAGGCAATACTTAAAGGAAAATAAACTACAAAGCAGCCAGCTCAGTCCAAGTAAAATTAATTAAAGGTATCATTATTATACAGTATTAAAACTGTTTTTTATCCTAAATTGACTAATTACATCTAGCCAAAACACTTCCTTTTAGTTAACCTTATAGATGATAATTTACTCTGCTTTTGAACCTCATAATACACCATATTAAATTTACAAGTTACTTTCATAACCTGTTGTCAAGCAAGCCATCGTCATTGATCAGTTGTATTCATCACTCTTGATCACTTATATTTACCAACATCGATAATAAACTTCAGAAAATTGTACTTTGAATGCATGCGTTTTCTTATATATGACATCTGAATTTGATACAAGAACTCACTCGAATACATAAATTTGAGACTGAAATTTTCTGTTTTATTGCTTAAAACGGTTTAGAACCAAACTGCAAGTGGTGCCCCTTTCAAAATTAAAAAAATTACTAAATCAAGAATCGACGATTTTGAGGACCTGTCCCTCTATATAAATAGTTTCTACATAAACATGTACTACTGTGCAGGTTTCATTTATCATGTTAAATATAAAGCCCGTAACAGTAAACTCAGAAAAACTTTAAATAACCACTTGTTCAGAAGGAAGGTTATCTATCAAAAGAATATGATACGACTTCAGTTGCTGCTAAACAAACTTTAAAACCAATCAGAACAAAATGTCAAGCACACAGCTGCAAGAGGGGAGATCATGTGTTTGTTGTACAGGTAGAGGACCTGGGCACCTAGCAGTCATAAAGCTGATCATAAAAACTCGTGTGTATTCTAGGGTTAAATTACAAGACCAGCATGTAAAACTTGGTGTTAACTGGGTTGTGTAGCAGGACATTGATTCTGAGCACAGCAGCAAATCTAGAGCAGAATGAAAGAAAAGAGATGAATCAATGTGTTGCAAAAGCCCAAAGTCCAAACTTCTGCCTGATGAAAATATTGTGATAGAGCCACAAGAAAGCTGAACATAAAGTGGAAACCTCAGTTAAGTGATACAATAGATCAAATTCCATCATACAGTAGAAGACGGTGACTTCAAGTTGTAGCTGCTTAAATGTGTTTGACAATTACACCATGAGCTGAATTTAGTTTTCACACACAATTATTTCTACTTTAAACTGATTAACAATGAGAGTGTGTTTACCTTATTTGAACTTGTGAACAAATCTGACTGAAGAAGAACATTTGTCTCGATAGTTTCCTCACCTTACACGCCATGATGACCCTGGAGACGACACTAAATCCCATTCTGTTCCCAATGTGGTGAATGGTGTGTGATGTAGGTGGATTTGAGAGCAAAATCACAGAGATTTTAGTTTAAATTGTATACACGGTGGCGCAACTGGTAGAGCTGTTGCCTCTCAGCAAGCAGGTCCCTGGTTCAAACCCCGGTCCGGGGGCCTTTCTGGTTGGAGTTTGCATGTTCTCTCCGTGCATGCGTGGGTTTTCTCCGGGTGCTCCGGTTTCCTCCCACAGTCCAAAAACATGCATGTTAGGCTGATTGGTAACTCTAAATTGTCCCTAGGTGTGAATGAGAGAGTGAATGGTTGTTTGTCTCGTTTGTCTCTATGTGGCCCTGTGATGGACTTGCGACCCGTCCAGGGTGTACCCCGCCCCTCGCACAGTGATTGCTGGACATGGGCACCAGCGACCCCCGTGACCCAAAATGGAATAAGCGGGTAAAGATAATGGATGGATGGATGGATGGATGGATAGTTTTACATCTAAAAATTCTTACACTATAAAGTTGGATATAACCGCAATTGTATATTTTTATTTAACTGCATTTGAACTCATGACGTCTTCATTGCGCAGACACATCCCAGGACAAACAATAAATGTGATGAGCCCCAGGATGAAAGCATTTAAGTTGAAAATTCTGCAAACATTGAGCCTTTGATGCCTTTTTCTTAGAGTCCACAAAATACATTATGCCCAGAGCAGCAGACAGTTCTAACATCTAGTGTAACATGCAATACAAGGGAAAATATTACAATGTCTTGTAAGATTTGAGTTTCCTTAAAGACAAATACACAGGAGGACTGGAAGAGTTTAATCTTGTTAACATGTATGCCAGCTAAATAAGGTATAATAAAAGAATCCTTTTCAATTCATTTCCAGAGTGAATGTTGTTGAAAAAGGAAAAACCATTCAGTCAGAACCAAATCCCCCTTAGGTATTAGGTCAGGCAGTGAGGCGGGAGCAGAGTAAAACTCAATTGGGCTTTGTCACCGGGTGTGAGGATATGAAATCCAAGGATGAGCGATAACAAAGGAAAGCCTGTGGCATTAGGTGCAGTGCACCTGTAAACCTTCAGACTGCCTGATAAACGATTTTTACATGAAACCTTGTTAATTCCCACCATGACTTTTTCTTAATAATACTTTAACACTTTGTACCAGAAGGTGCACAAAGAGAGATTGACAAGTACTAACGACTCAGTGGTAACTTTATAAGCAGTCAAATCTTAATTAAAAATGTTGGGGTGGGGTGTTCAGGTTCGGACCTGTAATTACTATTAATTCTTTGGGTTGGGTCGGGTTCGGAAATTATGGCTATGGGCTGGAGCCGGGTCTGATTTTTTGAGCCCAAATGCAACTCTAGTTTGCTGGCGATAAGATGGTCTGATGATCTGAAACTGTCCAGATGACCTGACTGAACATTGTTGGATTAGATTTTAGATTTTAGAATTAGATTTTATCTTGGAAATGTTATTGCATGCCTATGACATAACACTACCACCATCATGTTGAACAGTTTCTAGACTCAAATGATAAAATCACCCATTGCAGGTTTTTCTAATACTATGCAGATTTAGTTTACACAGAAAAAAAAGTACTGTGTCCATATTGGTTAGTAGTTGGTATTCATGTATTTTTGTTGCTGCTCATCTTATTGGTTTGTTCCATTCTTATTATTGTTGATTTGGGTACTGTGATTGGGTCATTGTCAACTAATGTGATCATCTTTATTTGTACAAATGCTTTTTTCGACTCTCTTTCTAAATGTCCTACAAACAGCTACCATTTACAAAATGAAAACATGGTAGACCTAGGACATGAAATATGCCACAAGCCTGCATGAATATATCATGGTGTAACAAATTACCCCCCCCCCCAAAAAAAAATTAAAAAAAAATAAATAAATAAATAAATAAATAAAATAAATAAATCTCAGAACAACAATAGTTACTTACAATAACTGTCCAAAATAATAAAAATAAATGAATGCAGCAGATGCTTTTTACTTTTGGAGAAAAAAAAAAAAATCTATAGTATAAAGAAAAATGAAGGCAAAAAAACAAGTTATTGAATAAATCAACTGTCTATCAAAGTTTCAAGCTATCTCCAAGCAGTTAGATGAAGCATGCAGAACTACTTGGTCAGTGATCGGAAGTGACAATTGGTCCGTTTTATAACTTCACTTGTAACTTAAGCTACAGTTATTAC